TTTGGGGGGGGGGGGGGTGGGGTTTTGGGGGGGGGGGGGGGGAAAATATTTGTAAAACTTTTTTTAAAAAAATTCAATTTAAAAAAAAGATATGCTGCCAAGCACCTATGATCATTCTTCAATTAAGAACAGTGTGTCTTACTTAATTACTAGGCTTATAACTTAGGTCTCCTTCTGGTGAACAAGTTTATCTGGAGTCTGCATCTTAGATTGAAGGAGCCAGACTACTCTTAATAGCTCATGTGGAGTCTACAGAATTGCAGTAAGTAAAAATAAATAATTTCAGAATTGTATGTGATTAATTATTTTTATATAAGAACAAAGTGGAGAAGACTACAAAAAACTTGAAAAATGTTGGCCATTTAAAATGACCCTTAAATTTAATTGCTTGGGTCCTAATGTCTAAAAATATTGCAAACAACTGAAGCAAATACTTTGAAAACATCAAAATATAAACATAACGTGCAATATTCAAAGAAGATAGAACCAAATATGCAGAGACAAAACCAAGAGAGAAAACCAGATCCCCAACTAAAAGTAATTCTAATGTAGCAACACAACTCATCCTAATAGCCATGAAAACAAGTAATTCATGGCACATTATAGTAATTCATTTAAGATACCAGCAAAAGATGTGGGAGAATAAACAAGGTAGAAAATCTTTAATTAAGTCATGCTATCAAATATTCATTGGCTAAAGGACTACCTTCTGATCAATTTCATAGCTTTCCAAATCCAAATACCAAGGAAACTCTGGAAAGGTAACTGGCATCCAGCAAAATTTACCTAGCAAACAGAGGCCATTCCAGTTTTCTCAAAGAAAAGTCCAGTGATGCATTAGGGCGTGGATGGAAGCTAAGGACATGGAATCCCCCAATATCTCTCACTCCCACTATGAGCTGGGACAGATATCCTGAATGAATAATGCTGGCACTCCTAGCCATTTGCTTCTTTGGCCAAAATGTATTCTAGTGCTGCAGCCTGGCATAGTTGCCTGTCACCAGAAATGGCACTGTGATGTAAGCCCTGCCCCTTTTGTAAGCACACATACAAAAGGGGTTGTGGTTGCACATAATTTAACATCTATCGTCTTGCTTTTGTTTAACCCCACCTCTCCCCAGCGCTGCAAATGTCAATAGACACACATAGGAAATTCCTTCTAAAACACCAAGTTGCTAGTTGGGTAATCCTACCTTGTACTTACGTTTTGTAAAGGGCAACAACCATATCCGCTAGTTGGGAGCGGGCAGCAAGTGGCCGCATCTGGACAAGAAGAGTGATTACCAAGACAGATGTTTTTTTGAGTCAAATCTGCAAGGTGAGAAAAGATTATCTTCTCAAAAGGTGAAATAAAAAGCCTCTGTGGGAAAGATGGATAATGTAATGGATTGCTATCACCATTGGTGAGCACAGAATGCTGAAGAGAAAGCATCACCCAGCCTACTCAACCTAGCAATTATAATGAAGCAGGGGTCCCCAACTCCTGGGTGCAGACCGGTCACGGTCCATGGTATGTTAGGAACTGGACTGTGCAAGTGGTGGGAGAGCAAGTGAAGCTTTCTGTGTGCCTGTGCATGATCTAGGATGCACAGGAAGCCATTCCCTCCTTAGCAATCTGTTCTTCCAAATTTTTCTTCCAAAATTTCTGATACCAGAAAGGTTGGAGACCACTGGATTAAAGTGCAAATCTCATGATGAACAACAGAAAAGTTACAATAAGCCTAGTTCTATTTCTTTACTCCATACTTAACACCGGGGTCCGTTTCTTTGCTGGAAACTTCTTTAAAAGAGGCTGTTCCCCAAAAGTTTCAAGGCATCGTGCCTCAACTAGATCACAAGTTGCGCCATGGGGACAGCAGTGAATCTTGTCTGCACAGCAGGATGCCTGGGGAAAAGAAGGGGATGAGTGCATCATCAATCCCCACCATTATCTTTTCCTATTGTTCTCAATGAACAGTTTTGTACTAACACACCTCTTAAAAGTTTTATTAAAAATACATCTAGTCTCTGCAGTTGCCTAGCTAAATGAAAAGCTTTCCTTTGGTTGGACTCTGAGACAAGCTGCTCAGAACTCTGGTTGAGCAGAAACTGTGATTCAAGAATGTGATTCAATGCTTCCTCTGCCTATTAAAACCCCAAATGAACTATGTAACTGAGAAATAAAATATTGGTGACATTTCAGCAAACTGAAGAACCTAAATGTTGACCAACACTTTCTTATATTTTAGAAAAGCCAATACAGAATTGTGAAGACTTCAGAATAAGATGTTTTATGATGCAGTGCAAAAGTGGGTACGTTTTGAAGGACCATGGATCTTGGGAGATGGGGCTGTGGGAGGATTGCCTACAATAAATCAATGGTAGGAAGTGACTGGTATGTTTTGTTTGGGGGCACATGTTTGACAGGAGGAACAAGTAAAAATAGGACTGGAATGCCTCTGAGAGGAACACCTCGATTCTCCCAATCCCCAGTCCTAGGAAAGTACCAAAATTTCATGTTACCGGAATTTGGTCACTGATTATCTTCCACTTTCAACCTTGTTGGTTTGTAGGCCAAAAAGACTTAAATGCAACAGAATGTTCCATTGAAATTTAGCCTTCACAAGATAAATGCAATTCTGGGTAATCAAGAGTGATGCAAGTCATTTGGATTTGCTTGCTGTACAAACGAAGAGTTTCTGAACCCAAATAATTTCTGGACTGATGGACAGGAGAGTGTAATTCAGGGACTTTGTGTTTTTTTTAAAAAAAATCAGAGCCAGATTTTACCTCTGCATGAAAATACCTTCACTTGCCCAAATCTAAGTTCCCATACCTCTGGCATTGGACAACATCCCCAGGATCCATCAGCCATCAAGCAACAGGTGCAGTCATCTGGGCATTCCCATTCACTATCTGGGCATTGAACAGCCCTGACTATGACAGCAGAGGTTGACTCTGGAATGCAAAATAAGTAAAACTTAGAAGTGACACCTTAAATTTGAAGGCCTGGAAATGTAAAGTCTTTCTCTCTTCTGCATATAACTGGCGCTTGATTTGTCTATGCCACGAAGTTCCTGTGTAAGATGACATTGTTTTCAAATCAAAACCAGCTTAAAATAAACTTCCTGGCGGAATAAACACAGGAAGAACCAATATACCAAGTAAACTAGGCCTTAAATCTAACTTAATTTATATTAAAATTAAATCTATTTAGCAGGATTATTCTGCAAACAATATTCAGTTTCATCCATTGATCACATTTATTATTAGAATTTGCAACAACTCTGGAGAAAACATCTTTTAAGGCTTTGGGGGTTTCAATATGGTATCAAATTGTGTGCTTCAGTCCAACTGGTAAAATAACTTATTCTAGTCTTTTTATTAAAAAAGAAGATTTAGCCTATTTTATTTGTTTAACCTAGTGAAACAAAGATATCCCTTAAAGAAAGCATTGAATTGTGTTCCTTGAATTAACTGGGAGAGATTATTTTTATTACTAAATATTGTTACTGTTCCTATGATTCCAGTTTGTCCCACCGTGTCTCCAAATACCTTCATTTTCCATGCAGACTCTTCCATCAGTGCTGCAGTGGGTGCCAAGGGGACAGCAATGATGTCCATCAGCACAAGAGATAGCCTGGAGGTGAAATAAAAGAGAGGCAAAGTACAGCAAATACAGCATAAGATCTAACTGGAAACTGGAGTGTTACAAGTCCTGAAGTTTAACTTCTCAAACACATGTGCTAATTATCAAATATGATTATGAACTAGCAGGAAAGAAACAAAGGATATGTGTGCTATTTTGGTTTGCTGTACTAAGAATAGGGAAGTAAATAAAGCCACCACACGTGTGCTCAGAAGGTTTTTCTTCCTTCGGTAATAATTTATCTCTGCTTTTTACTAAGATTGCAAGTAGTATGCCTTCAGATTCTAGAACTACAGTCCTCTTTCTCTTCCTGTTGGTTTTCTTAGTCAACACATTTCTTTCTCTCCATACCTGGAACTTTCTAAATGTGTTGGAACTATAATTCCCAGAATTTCAACTAATATGGCCATATGCCATGGGAATTCTGGGAAGTTAAAATAAAAGCTTCCAAAGCCATCAGTTATCTATACAATTCTAAATCATTTCAACCTCATAGTTTCTCATTTCTACTTAACCTCCATCTAGGAACTAAATCCGAACAGGAAAGATATGGGAAATATATTGCTCTCTAGAAATGATAGTGTACTATTATTACCTATCCTCCCCAATGTAATTGGGATACAAGAAGCAGTGACTGAACAGTATCTGAGGAATCCAGGATCCTCAGATATCCTTGTATTAGAATATTTATCTTAGCTTCTCTGATCTAATAAATCTCCAGATGTTAGGAACTATAAATCCAACATTCCCAGATAGCTGGATCATTGGATACAATGACAATAAAGAATATTAATTATAATCTTCTACATTGGAAGGCCACTGGAAGTTAAACGCTGTTCCCTTAATCTGGTACATATCAGTTCAGTACAGAACAAAATAGAGTTGGCATGCAGATAAGAATAACTCAAGAGGTATGGGGCAAAGCAGTTAAATTAGCTCTATTAAGAAAGGTATTCTGATCTTTGCCAGCCCTTATCTTATTTTCAGGTCCAAAGCTCACCTCCTCCCAAGGACAGCAGGCAAAGGTGGAATTCAGGGTGACCTGGCAGGAATGCGTCACTGGACATGTGCTAGCATCAGGGCACACAACACTAGATACCTCATTCCTGCTCTCTGGGGGCAACATGCGAAGAGATGCTCCTGTGAACTGTAAATGAAAAAGATGAGGCAACAACATGACAGGCAACTTTGTTCCCATCCCCCAAGATACTATGCAAGTTGCAAAACCTAATATAGAAGTATTATTTCAGGAAGTGTCAACAACTCTAGAGAAGCTGGATGCCCTATAACAAAGCTAGTCACTAAAACAGCAATATTCAGACTTTTTTTAAAAATGAAGTACTTGGTGTTCTTGGAAAGAGCATATATATCTCTTTGACCTACATATGTTCTCTTCTATCAGCATTTTTCCTTATGTAGTTTTACTCATGTAATCAATACAAGCTTTGCTAATGGAAATGCTTCTATCTTTTTAGGAAACCATTTTCTGCCCCATCCTTAGCAGAAGAGTAACATAACAAAAACTCCTACCTGGGGCTGGTCACAGCAGGTATACTTATCTCCTTCAGGGAGCTTGCAACATGTTGAAGATCCTTCACATTTCTGCCCATCAGGGCATTGCAAAGAAGAGGCTGTCCTGCTCAATAACAGGAAAATTACGAAGTGCACCCACATCCTAGCCATGAACCTAGATAGGAGAATAATAAAGAAGTGAGGTGCTTCAGAGCCCTGCACTGCTGTGAAATACTCAGTTCCCCAAGGAAAAGTCTCACCAAGCCACTCCTCATAAGTTAAGAGCTGCCAATGACCTTTATAATACAGAATTCTGACTTATAAGCTATTTAGTGACTCAACAAGGAAGATCAGCTAAAAGAACCTCATGTGACAGTCATTAAAACAGGGAGGGTAAGATCACGTGGATGAACTTTTGTTGTAAAGCCTAGGAAAACCTGATAGCAAGAGATATATCACCACTACAGCCAATGTTTTATTAGGTTTTTTCCACTTTCAGAGAAAATGTTTAAGCATTACATTTTTCATGTAATGAGTCAAATAATTAAAATGTTTAGAAGAAAACAGCAATTCATTTGAACATTTAATGTAATTTATAAGGATTCAATTTTGATACTATATAACATTTTTGATTCATTCCAAAACAGTGGTATTCTTGTGCATACAAATGCTTTAAACTATTTTTAGAACGTAATTCAAAGCATTGTACAACTCATCTGCGTGTATGTGTGAGTACATATACATATACACACACGTCTATGTGCACTCTTGCCCTCTCTCTCTCTCTCAACCATATTTCCCTAGAAATGGATAAATACCCCATGAAAGTCCATAACTGATTCAACACCCCCGCTAGAAGAAACCATACCCAGCGACATCCAATTGTATGTTCCCGCGATGTAAGAGACCATAATTCTAATTATCCTCTTCTAGCCAAGAGAGTTATAATCTATAGATGACAACTAAAGATGTGCGATTGGAGAAGGTTGGGATATCTTAATCCCACTACTGACTTTCCCTACAAAGCCTTATATATGTACTCTAGGATTGGAAGAGTAACCAAGCTCCAGTAATTTAACATTCTGAAATTATTATTATTATTACACCCAGAACCTCTTATATTTTATGAAGATTAAGAAATTAAAATCTTCAGGGTGCCATTTATGCCCAGAATTTTTCATGAATAGATAATAATGTTTATCTTAGGAAACAAATCATACCAACTGATATTCTAGCTACCTAGGTTTAATACTTAAATAGCAACCCACTTCTGACATCCTAGAGTGGGCTGTATCCAAGACCACAAAGTCAAAGTTTTTCTATTCCCCTTAGATTTAACTGAAGCTAGTTTACTGATCAATTGTCAATAAAAAGTTCTTGATTATGATTATTACAACCATAAAATTACTTTCTTTACAAGTTATACATCTAAGCATTTTCAACTGATGCAGAAGTCACTTAGAAAAGGATCAATTAAACCTCTGCAACAGAAGCTCATAAATTTTAGCTATTTAGCTGTTTGCAAAAAAAACCCCTCCAATATTCAGATTGATATATACACCAGATCACATTGTATAATCTGATCTGGAAAAAATGATTCAACCTAATCCAACCTAATCATTAATTAAGGAAGCCAAGTTGTACTACTCACATATTTATTATATGCTTCATAATACATTACATGAGTTGCCCCACATAGTAGTAATCAGCTACATAATATCATTATCAGAATGATGCAGTAAACTGAAACAAGGAGAACTCAGTGTGTGACAATTCAGAAACATCTGCTTGTGAGAATAGTGGAACTGATTATCACTGGTTATTCAGTTCCTTCTTTTTGTTTCCATATTCTCTTGCACCATTTGATAGTCACAAATGAATTCCAAGTTAGTTAAAATGTATGTATGTATGTATGTATGTATATACATATATATAATTAACAAGCTCTAATCCCAAAGCCCCTGCTCCACAGCAATTATCACTTCAGTGTAAAATCATTTGACAAAAAAATAAATTGACCTCAAGTAAGAGGTTGAAAACTGCTAAAAGCATGTACTCCCCTTATTCTCACACAGACTATTTGGAAAGTTTAGATGTTTATGCAGTTTCTCAAACAATATAAATATTCTCCAATCTCAATCACACATGCACACAAAGTTCATAGTCCTTCCTCTTCTGATAAACCACACAAATTGAATAACCTTTGGTCTGTAAATAAGAAAACTTCCTTTTTCACTACCTCAATCTCAGAACTGTAGTTGTTCAGAAGTAAACCTTTTTGTCTCTCAAGGCATTAAATAGGCCCAGAGAAGAATCTAAGTTTGCCAAATGAAATGTAACAGCTTGTGAACCCTTCAGCCCTCAATCTTTTTTATACATACAGCTTGTGGTTACAAATAAAAAGTCTGAGATTTTGTACTGAAAAACAATTACTGCAAGAAGAGAAATTACTTAACAGAATGTTGCATACGATTTGAGCAAGGCTGGGAAAAGGAAAGTGATGAAGTTCAGATTTTGTCAGTCCTCCAGGAAACATGACTAGATGAAATACATCTCTATTTTATTATAAGACTATATTAACAGAAACTTGCAAGTTTGAAAGTACAGATTTCCTGCACTACAACTAACTGCTTGATCCATTAGGGTGGGTCCTTCCTAAGTTTATTTCTCTGACCTCACAAAACCACTGGTTCTCCTGCCTCTCTTGTCCAATTCTTTCCTAGGCAGCATCTCTTTCCCAAAGTCATTCACACTTTCCATTACAGATTCATTGAAAATCAGGTGAATTTGAGCAATGAGTTTCCCTTCTTCACTTATGCAGTTCTCAACTCCATCCTGAAAATGAAAGGCATGACAGGAGCCTGTTCCAAACCCAGACTCTTCCAGCTGCCATCTGGTATGAAAATACTCTACATATACCATACCATACATATACTCTGATATATAGGTTTGACTACCTGAAGCACTGAAATTTACTTCTGCAAGATATCTCCAGCGAGAAATGGAGACAAAAAATTGTGCTCTGGGATAATTAAATCAATTTTCCTTCCCAGCCAGACACACAATTCTCAGCAGGCATCAAGTGATTGTAAAGAAAAACAAGGCAGAAATTCATTTGAAAAGCCAGAAACTTCATTTGTTGCTCTAAAATCCTTGGGGGCTGTTGAGGAATACTAACTTCCCCTCTTATGAAATGCCTTACAAGGCTTTCCACCCCCATCATCATCTCTCTGCTCTAACCCTTTTCCACCATGTTTTGTTGAATGGAGAAGTCAGGGAGACTGCAAGCTGTTTGTTTATCCAGGGTCAGCAGTATCAACCTCAGAAGAACCTGTGAATGTAGCAACTTGCAAACAGAGCTATATATTAAAAAACCACAACATTTCCAAATGCTGATTTCCAAATCAGACTTACAAAAGTCTAAATCTGTCCAGCTATATACATGTGCATCTCACACCCTGGAGCCATCCAAACCCAACAGACTGCTTGACACAATCATAATCAAACCCAACAAACTTGCTTGATTATATCCGGTAGGAAAAGCACCTCTTAAAAGCACTAGGAAAGAAATCTCATTGGATAGAAGACTTGGACCTGGCGGTTCCCATCACACACTTAACTCCTCACGAGAATTGTTTTAATAGTCATTTTTGGCAGTCTGGTGATTCTAGGAGGAGTCAACAGCTTAGAAGAGGGTTCTTAATATTGTTAGCCTCAGGCCAGTACCTGCAGGATGGTTGGGTTGACATTGCAGGAGCCAAATCCTGCCCTAAGGTAACCCGGAAAGAGATGTCGAAGGGTTATTCCTGTCCCCCAATCCTCCCATCAACTACAGGTTGGGCAAAGAAAGGCGATGCTGAACGAACGCGAGCATAGAAAGGCAGCGCCCCATCAGATTCATCCCCCCCCAATTTTGTCTTCCACAAAACCAAGCAGCAAAAACTCCCCCAACTTTGGTCTCCCTCCCCCCAATATCATACACTCATAAGCATCCGAACATATACTAACGGAGTCGTCTACAGAAAGGACATGGAGCCTTTCCACGCTGCCAAAACGATACCCCAGAAAACTCACCTTCAGCACTAGCGATACCGACGTTGGGGCTACTAAACCTCTGCAGCAGCAGCAGCTTATCTCGCAAGCAAGCAAACTAAGTCTCAAGCCAGGCCACGCCTCTCTTAATTAGGTTTCACCTGTCGCCTTTCCCTGCTCCAATTGGGATTGGCTCCTTTTCCTCCAGGAGGGCGTGGCGGCCAAAGGGAAACATCCGCAGCTCTTTGTTTTGGATTGGTTGGCTTTCTCCCTAATCCCACCTCCCCAGCCTAATATAGAATGCAAAAATACCACGAGATCATATTGGCCTAGGCTCAAACCCTCCCGAGATTCAAATAGGATTTCGGGGGCACGTGACAAGGTGGGAGGAGGGACTTACCCGGGTGTGAAGGGGTCTCGATTCAAACACCGGAACTAGTTATATTGATTGTACGGCTGCCGGGGGCGCAACCCGGAAGTGGTAAGCAAAAAGAGTGTCTCTTAAAGGGTGCATACAGTGTTTCGAGTCGCCGCTGCAGGACATGCGAGGCCGATGATTTTATTGCCCCCTTTCGAAGACATGACAGGACATTCAGCCGTCGCCTTTCGGGCACTTTAGGCAAAACAATAAATATTTCTATAAAGTAAGAGGGGAGGAAAGGCTATTTCAACTTAATAGTTTCAGCCTTCTGTCTAGTTCAGGGAGTCGAAGTCTATGCATATTAAAATTGCTGAGGTTGAGAAACGCTGCAGAAAAGCGAAATAATTTTGGCGAGGGATCCAGATGTGGTTGAAAAAAATGATTGGACTAAGGTTAGAATTTAAACCAGAACTATTTTTTACTAGGAATCATAACAGAAGACTATAGTATAGGGTCAATATATTTAATACTAAACATAATGGCTGCGAGAATGGTATACGCTCAACTATGGAAAAATGAAAACGTACTTTTAGAAAGGGAGATAATAAAAAAAAATATTTGTCTGCGCAGAAATGGATAAATTGACGCTAGAATTAAAAAACAAAGGAGAATCAGAATATCTTGATATATGGAATAGGTTTTACTAATGGTTAGAAATGAGAGATGGGAGTTGGAACAAGAAATAACTAGAATTTGTGAACATGGAATATAATGTAATATATGTACATATAAATGAGTACATTGGATACAACAATAATATATAATTAATGAAGACACTGTTACTTGTATGTTATTTGTTTTATATTTTAGTGTGTACAGCGGAGATAATGCCAGGATGGTCGCACTATGTCCAATATTTTAATAAGAAATTAATAAAAATTTATTTAAAAAAGAAACACTGTTCTATCCTACACTTTTTCCTTTAATGCTTTGTTTCTTATTATAATATTATCTCCACTTATCGCTTGCTGATTAATTGCAGAACAGTTAGGTTTTGTTTATAACATACCACTTCCAGACTACAGTTGTGTGCAAGAGTTAGGCAAAGGCCAGCAGCTCACATAGAATATTATCCACTACATATCAAGTAAGAGCTACTGAGAATATTTGAAATCATGTTCTGAATCCCTCTTAATTATTAGAGCAAGTAGGAATGAACAGCACATGGTACCTGTGTTCAGAGGTAGTTTTTTTCTATATCCCAAATGAGATTAGTTTTTAATAGTTTTCTATATGGAAATAGGTTTTTTTTCTTTTTTTAACTGAAGAAAAGTTCTATTTTGTAAACGCCACCCTCCATTTTTGTAATCTAAGGTGGTATAAATCAGAAAATATTAAAATTATTTATAAAATAGTTATTTATTACAAGTGGAAAAGTAATGATGAAACGGGTATTTTTAAATAACAAACTTGAATGTCCTGTTTTTAAACCAGTGACAGATTCCTTTAAAATATCTCCTTTGATCTTAAAATGCAATTAATACAACAAATGAATTTATGTGTACTGGACACCTCGGAGAATGTTTAGTAAAGGCAAATTATTAGTTAAAGTAAAGGCAAATCATCATTCCTATCATCCATCTCCTCCCACTTATGACTGCATGACTGTCACTTTGTTACTTGTATCCCTGCGATTTATATTAATATTGTTTCCTGATTGCTTATTTGTACCCTATGACTATCATTAAGTGTTGCACCTTATGATTCTTGACAAATGTATCTTGTATTTTTATGTACACTGAGAGCATATGCACCAAAGATAAATTCCTTGTGTGTCCAATCACACTTGGCCAATAAAGAATTTTATTCTATTCTAAATTTCAAGAGCTGAAATGTTAATTAGTATAGTTAATATACTAGTGCTTTTTGGTGTAGGTTTTTTAAGGCGAAAACAGTGCAGATTATAATATACAAACCAGTATCCGCAATAGATAAATAACATTATACAGCTATACTAATTTGGTCCTTTGCTGAGAATCTGTATCAGAAAGTCTCGCGATAGCCATGTAATCCACAACTATGGCCGCGAGCTGGTGGGTGGAGGGAGAGAGCGTACGTGCCCACAACGTGGAAGGTCTTTGTTACTCGTATCTTTGTTCAAGGTGGGGGGGGGGGGCGAAGGGAAACGAGTCTCTCGCTTGACCGGAAGCTTCACATCCTGCCGGGAAACTGAGAGGGTGGGGCTGTCGGAGGGCAGGATAGAAGCTGGAAATGACTCCCAATTTAAACGCGCCAATGGAATTTGTGGCTGGTCCCGGGGGGGGGGGTGGAGTCACGCGCAGTGACGTTGAGTGCCAGCAAAAGGGAAGGAGAGGATCCGCCTTGCCTCTGACGGAAGAGCAAAGGTTCTTTGTCAGGGGAAGACAACGGCAACTCGTTAGTAAGGTGTAAATTGTTTCCGGAGTATTAGGATAGAAGTACACGAGTAAAATTACGACAGATTCGTTTTTTATAGAATAAAATTGTTTATTTTTTGCTATTATACTAAAATGACATGGCCTTACCCTTGCTGATAATTTTAAAAAGGATGCTTTGACAGGTGTATTGTAATGAATAAGAATGTCATTTGTGTCCTCCAACGATGATCTTCAACAATACCTTCCAAGAATACCTTTTATTTCTAGAAATTAACCATAGCAAAGGCATTAAGGAGGATTTTCTTCTTTAAATAAAAGGGAGACTGCACTGGTTGTTACCAAAAGGGTGTGGTGATATATCATAATCTTGCTTAAACTTGTATTTTGGGGATGTGTTGAATCACTGTTTCCACATCTTCAGCCAGTAGTTCACACATTTGTAAAACGTCTGTAAAAGGAGAAAGTTAACCATATGAACTAGTGAAGGACTTGCTGGTTTCCATTTTCCAAGTTTGTTGGGCAAATTATTAAAATGCTTAACTACATTTATTGAGAGGACAATAGCCTTAGGGAATATTTTCAAGCATCAAATTATTATAGTCTATTCCCAACTTGAGAATAATATTGCTGCATTACTTTTGCAGATCCTTCTCACAAGGCCATATAGTAGGAAACCAGTTTTAATAACATGATTGAGAGATCTTTAAGGGGTATTAGGGTATGGATTTTTTAAAAAAACTCCAAATATTTTTAAAAGGCATTAGGGGAAACCACATTTGTATGGCTGACAAGAAAAGCTCCTAGCATTACTGGAACAATATCTGATCTGAAAGAGACTTATCTATCTCCACACATTGCAGGACATCATTGACATACATTGACAAAGTAATGCACATTACTTTGTGTTCCTTTTCCTGCTTCAATATTCAGTAAACTTTAAAAGCCATCACTCATAGGTTTCTATCATCACCAAATGCAAAAGGGAGAAGACTGGAATGTTAAAAGAGTAACAGGCAACTCAATTATGAACTAGCCCAATAATATGAAGCTACTTTTATAAGACAGATTTTATTTAAAGACCTAATTAGTTTCTGTATTGCCATTCTAAAGATTTCTTCTCTATAAACAGCAACTATTACCTCTTGTTTCTGATAAAGATAGAAGAAATAGTGCATTCTGATTTTATTTACCTACAGCCAGCAGCCTTTCCTTATCCATTCTTCTATTCTGCCCTATACAGGTCTGAGAATTGTATAAACAGCTGCCTTAAAATCACCTGAAGTCACACTGAGGGAATCTGTTTCTTTTATCTACAGACATGCTGGATATGGGGGAGGAGAGTCTGTGTATCCCTTTTAGTATTTAAATACACACAGTACTTCCGTAAGTCTCAGTTTTTCTACACACCGTATTTCTGTTAATTTTGGTTCCTATTCTATTACTGAAATTTATATTCTAGGCCAGGGCTGCCAAGCTTCCTGCCCAAGTGCTGGATGCATCATGTACTGGCCACGCCCACGCCCATTCTAGCATGGGGGGGGAGTCCCAATACGTCATGTGACGCCACCATGACAATGTGAGTTTGATACTCCTGCTCTAGGCTAATCAAAGCCTCTGGACAATTCAAACACTGATGGCATCAAAATGCAATGATGCAATTAGGTGCCTTATGTGCCAGAATTGCTTTTATGGTTCTGCGGTTTTATTCCATAAAGATGATAGCCGCAAAGTACAGATAATCTCTGACTTACAACAGTTCATTTAGTGACCATTCAAAATTACAACAGCACTGAAAAAAGTGAGTTATGATCGTATTTCATACTTAACGACTGTTGCAGCATCCCAAAGGTCAGTGATCAAAATTTAGACCCTTGGCAACTGACTCATATTTATGATGATTGCAGCATCCCAGAGTCATGTGATCACCTTTTGCGACCTTCTGCCAAAGTCAATGGAAAAGCCTTAGTTCACTTAACAACTGTCACTAACTTAACAACTGCATTGATTCACTTAACAACTATGGCAAGAAATGTCATAAAATGGGGCAAAGTTCACTTAACAAATGTCTTGCTTAGTAACAGAAATTTCGGGCTCAATTATGGTCATAAATCAAGGACTACCTGAATATGTGCTCACATTCTAACATTTTAAAGCAGTTAAACCTGTGGATCAGAACAGAAATATATTTTGTTATGAATAGCTAAAGATTTAAATTATACAAATCCAGTCAAATACTAATTGATAGACAAGACCTAGATTTTCTCTTATCTCACTTATTTCAGTTACAGACTATCTGAATTTTTTTTTAGTCCCAAGGATTACATAGACTAGCCAAGATCTTAATTTTTTTTATCCTTATTCACA